CGAGGCCAAAAAAGAAAACATACACATACTTGAACTTCATAGAATGTGAGAAATATTTCAAGGAAGACTTCGTTTAAGAACTCTACCTTGAAAAACTTCTGTAACTACGCGCTAATAGAAGCATTAGTTCTGAACTTTTGATTTTATTTTAGAGCATGTAATAAGAATTAAATCGTTAATATATATATATATATATATATATATATATATATATATATATATATATATATATATATATATATATATATATATATATTTATATTTTATTTTCAATGTTTTCATCAATAAAAGGCTTATTATAATGTTAAAAACTTTATTATTTTTGACGTTTCGTTGTATATCACAACTTTGTCAAAACTAATTATTAATTTTAATATTAATATTAGTTTTATTCATATATTTTTCATTATAATTAATCAATTCTTTATAGATTAATTATTTTTTTTTTAATATTGTTTTGATAAAGTGATATACAACGAATCGTCAACGATAATAATGTTTTTAACATTAAAATAAGCCCGTTATTGATGATAACATTGAAAATAAACTGTCTTAAACAGGTAATAAATCAATTTAAAATATACTAACAGGGTGTGAATAGTTCATCCATGACTGAGGCCATTCTCAGATAATCTCTCAACTCAACGATATAAAAGTTTTCAACATTAAAATAAGCCTGTTATTGCTAAAAAAATTTAAAATAAACTATCTTAAACAGGCAATATATACAGGGTGTTTTATTGGTAAACGGAAATGCTTAAAGAGTGAATAGATCATCCAACACAGCGGCGATTCTCAAATAATCTCTTTATTTGATCTGACGATTTCAGTACCTTCCAAAATACAATTTGATTACTGTTACAAAATTTTTTTCAGTTGTGGTCATCACAACCATGTGAATTTTTTCATATCTGGCAGTTATACTTCTCATGCAGAGCCCCAATGAACCGCATAGCAATCACAAAAAATCCAGATCCCAATAGACAAAAATATAAAAAGCAATTGAGACCTTGAAAGTACCTGTACATTGAAAGTTTCCAATTCTATTTGCATGTTTGGACAACCCAAAAAGAACATTTTCTAATTTCAACTTTTTCCCCATTTTCGAAGGCGCATAAAAATTTCAGGAAGGCTAAGGTGGGGCATGGTACAAAAAAGGTTGGGAAATACTGGTATACAACCACCTACTGCGTGCATGGAAGCAAAATGTCCTTAACACTGAACATTCCTGTCAAACATGTTTCGAAAACTAGAATTTTTCAAGCATTGCCTATATCACCTGTTTTTGGAAATTATAAGGTTCTTGGTTATAACTGATTGAGAGACGTAAACTACTGAAGAGCTGCGAGTAGTCGTATTAGATTTGAAAAATATATTCATCAAATTAAGACAGGAAATTTCCAGATAATAAGTGAAAATTATTAATTATTATAAATCATAAAATAATTTCTTATTGATTAATCGTTTAAAATACCTACTTATAATTATTGAATATCTATATGTCCACTAATATATTTTCAACATTGTGTAACTTGCTGAACCTAAGAATACTGTCGGGGGTACTCTTCAACGCAGTCACCAGTGTTTATTTCAGTGATCATCTTGGCCAATCCCAATATCAGCCTTGTCGTTTTCTTGTATATGGCACTATTTGTTTTGGACGAATGTACTCACCAGACTTCATTGTGACCCGGGCGATTCATTGTTGTGGATAAATGGTTTTAAATGCGCTTTGAGCCAGGTCTTTCATCTCGGAATTGTTCGAAAAAGTAGACATTTACAATAACCCGTGATATGCATCAAATTTCGTTCACTTTTCTTATTTTGTATGGGAAGGGACCTGTCCCGATGATATTGTATTGAAAGAATGTGGTCGAAAGTGAACTACTGAAAAAATTATTACATTCCAACATTGAAGTTTCGCCTAATTTTATTCAGGTCGTGCTGAACATAGTATAATTATATACTACTATAATAAAATGAAAATAAAACAATATTTAGAATTTTCTCATAATTTGATATAAATACGCATGACGACGTTTCGAAGTACTACTTCTTTATCAAATGCTGGATTAATACTATGGGTAATTTTACAAAGTCAATACTTATAGCTATGTTCACAGAACATACCAGGTATGTTCTATGACTAACTTGGAGACGACCATAGAAATTGTATTCCATGTGTATTCATGAGGACCAAATAACACATCAGAAATCATATCATTCTGATGTGTTTTCTATGGCCCTCATGAATACACATAGAATACAATCAGTGTATTCTATGGTCCTCTCCAAGTTAGTCATAGAACAAACCTGGTATGTTCTGTGAACATACGTCGTCATGCGTATTTATATTAAATTATGAGAAAATTCTAAATATTGTTTTATTATGGATATTAATTTTCTCCAAGAATTGGCCTCATCAACTATCAATAAAATGATAATATACCTTTATATATATATATATATATATATATATATATATATATATATATATATATATATATATATATATATATATATATATATATATATATATATCGAAAAAAATATTTTTTTTCGGATATAGTTGCTAAATGGTATGACTAAATAGGGAAAAAAATATAAAAATTATCGGATGTTATCTTCCGTTCGCGCATGAGCTCTAAAGTTTGATTAAATTTGAAAAAATTAAAGTTTTTTGGAAATTTTTAATAATTTTTTTTATTACGATATTTAATATGTAATAGGGAAAAATGTCATCTACGACACACTAATGAATTAATATAAAAATACTGGTATTGAGTTTTAACATCTTCCGTTCGCGCATGGGCTGTAAAAATAGCAAAAAAGTGTTGAAAACCTCAAAAATGTGGACTTAGGAAAAATAAATATATACAAGCTTCAACATATTATTGATGTATTATCCAATAATTACAAAGTACATATTTCACTTACGAATAGATAACATGTCTGGTAGTTTGAACTGTCTTTTGTTATCAAAGGCTGGCATCGTGGACCTTGACTTAAGTGTCGTTCTTATGTACCCGTCTCGAGCTGCAGATCCGCAAACCTTAGCAGAAGCCTCGCTCACCAACTTGACGCTTCTCTCCACTGCTTGAGTATGGACTGGCATCTTCTGTGATGATTTCCCACTTCGGTACTTCTTCTGTTTTGATGTAGGTTTTCAGTTCATCATCAGTGACATCTTTCAATAGAAGCGGCGAAGAAAATTCACAGTTTGTCCAATAATTTAATTCCGTGTAGTCTGTTGCGGAAAAGTTTAGCTTAGGTGCCACGTACGTTCGAATTGTTTTCCTCTTTTGGTCTCTTTCTCTTGCCTTAATGATGCGGCGGAGGCCCAGTTCTCTTATATGTTTTCTGGGATCTTGAGTCATAGTAATCATAACATGTTCTGGATGCGCAAAGAACCCATTTCTCTCTATAACTGGGTCAATTACAGCTTTGAGTTCATCTTTAAGATATCTTGAGGTTTCAATACATTGGTGCACGAGCTTAGGGCCATCAGTAAAAAGTTTGGTCTTCTTAATACAAAACCACATCGGCATATATGACTTCAGAATGAATATTACTATTTCCTGGAACTCAGCAGTTGGATTTTCTTGACTAATGTAGAGTCTTAAAGCACGGTTAGCTGTTGTTAGCCACCTGGAGTGAGACAAAGGTCCTGGATCCCTGATTGATAAATCTTTTGGGCATTCACCTGATTTAATCGCTTCTGATATTTCCAGCAAATACTTCTGATCCTTACTAAGAGTTTTTTTGTCTATCTCAGGGATTTGGCAATCAATACTTTCAAACTGCACTACTGGAAGTGTTTCACATTTGATCAATTTCCCACCAATCGGTCCTTTCAAAGAATTTGACCCAAAGAAAATGAGAGGGGGTATCACGTGACGCGGCGTGGTTCGTTGACCCGCTAGTGGCGCTGACACTGACAGTAAGTTTTGTATCGCTGTGCGCGATCGAAAAACCAAGCCTAATTACGTCTGAATTTTTTTCTTTAACTATCAGAACATGTATAATCAGATATTAGGTATTACATTATTGATATCTGTAACTATACATGAAAAGAAAATAGGACAAAAATCCGATTTTCTTGTATTTTGGCTATATTTGGATGTTTATATATATATATATATATATATATATATATATATATATATATATATATATATATATATATATATATATATATAGTGTAAGGGATTGTAAACGGATGGAAGAAGAGGTATATATATATATATATATATATATATATATATATATATATATATATATATATATATATATATATATATATATATATGAATTTTTTTCCAATATTTTTCAGCAAAAACAGCCTTTTTTCTTAAAAGACCTATTTTAGTTGACGTTTTGTTGCGATTTGCAACTTTGTCAGAACGAATAAATAATTCAATTTCTTAAACTACTATGGATTCAAACCTCAATTGTTATCTTGTTAATCAACTTAACTGTTTCGTCTCTTTATTATTTAGAGAAATGTTCCTGGATCCAGCATTTGCTCCGGAATTGTTTGAGTGTTCTTCACCATGAGGAAACACTTGTTTCATTTATAGTATTCTCTTATTTCGACGAATGTGCATATTTCAAAAATTTCTACTCTTTTTTGTCTTTTTCAATAGCTAAAATCGTTGTATTATTATAATAAACTTGTTGTATTATTGCATAAACTTATGTTGTTCAGTTACTTTTGTTTATTATTCAAGACCGTGATCTGGTTTTTTCATATTTATGAACTTCAATTCGTTCTTTTGTAAATTATAAATTATATATATATATATATATATATATATATATATATATATATATATATATATATATATATATATATATATATATATATATATATATATATATATATATATATATATATATATATATATATATATATATATATATATATATATATATATATATAAATATGTTATTTTATTATAATGAAATTTGAGAATCGAAGTTATATTCAAAAGTTTTTTTTTGGAACTCGACTGGGATTCGAACCCAGGTCTTCCAGGTTTACGCCCCGCTGCTCTACCAACTGAGCTACCGAGAAAGGAATTTTGGATAAACTATGAAACTAAGTAAATATCTTGAAATACAAAGGACACTATTTATGAAATTTTTCAGACGAGTGCAATGACATATAATGTTGCTGAAGGCATTTGTAGCCATCATTAATCAAATGTACTTTTGATTTGATTTCAAATGCATTCAACCGTTAATGTGTGAATGAAAAACATCTTAGTGGTTAGCGTTGATGATTTGCTCTCCATATTTATTATGACGTTTTGCCATGTTTCCTATGTGTTCTTATGGTTTCGGTCAAGTATTACTTTGTACAAGGGTTCTTTGCTCTGCATATTTTTGATGACATCATACCGTGATTCCCTTTTCATTTCTATGATTCCCTAATTTCTTATTTCTGAAATTATAATCGTTGCTCATGATCCAGTAACAGAGTACATTAGTAGAAAAATGAATATACCAATACCTATTTACTCCAACATGAAAGGGAGGATAAGAGCTTTGCTGCTGACAAGGTTGAAGGGTGGGTTTAACAAACTGAAATAAATGTGATACTTGAACAGCCCTCAACTGAAAATTGTTAGATAATTTCTGGCTTTAACATATTTTTGCATTAAAACCAGTATCTATTCAGCTGTATATACTGGTGTTGCAAAAATATGCGGGATGTTCTATATACTCGTATATAAAGTATGAAAATTACAGAAATACATAAGTAAAAGTAGATAATGGCATTATGCATCCTTTGATAAAAATTTATTAATATCATCATTTTCATTTTATAGATATTATGAAATGAAAATAATGATTTGATATAATGAAAATCTTGTATGGGTTGAAACGTATATTGGATTCTTTTATTGAATTAACTTCAACGTATTTAGCATTGTATTTCAGTGCTAAATTAACTTCAACGTATTTTTACATTGAAAAAGTGTGTTCACAACTGTGTTCAAAGTATTTTCTTATACGCAGTTATTCACATAAGTTTTTTAAAGATATTATATGATATTAGACGTTCAACATCAATTAATTATATAGTCTGAAAGGATCATAATGAAAAACAAACGATTTCTTTTTTACTACAGTTATAACCTTGAATATTAGAAAAAAATTAAGCCTCGTTTGCAATTTCGGACAATTTTAATGCAAAATTGGATATACAAGATATGATTACTCTCCGACCTGATTACCTGAATAAACAAGAAGCTTCAAATTTGGGAAAAATTGCAGAATATTTCGTGGTAGGAAAGGTCACGAGCAGAAACATAAAAGCTCACTATTAAATTGAAAATTTCAATAAAGGGTATGAAACTATTCAAATAGTTGAAGATAAAAAGAAAATTGAAATTTTGAAAAATTTTATGGAATCATCCAATACATACTACTATAACTTCATTATGATGAAACTTAAAATGGAATCATATTGGAAAAAATGGGAGAAATGTTTTCGTGACATTTCTTATTTGATATAGAGCATGATTATATCAATTCTTTTTTGAGAAATATCAATAAGACGAGAGGAGAATGAATGTGAGAAACAATATCTGTTGAAAATCCTGGATAGTCCTTCAATTAGGTAGGTACTTCTAAAATGTCTACTTTCAAAGCGCATTCATGAGTTAAATCAAAAAATAATAGAAATGATTATAACAGTTTCATTTAGTTGTTCAAACATATTCAATCTTAGTCCAACACTAGCGGTGTTGGATTATAATTTGCTAATCCACGGTGTTAATCTATACTTTGCTTATTAAAGGTGAAAAGCAGCTATGATTATTTGAGAAATATGGCTTGGAAATATAAGTAATCCCAAAATAAATAATGGAAATTCAATTGATTAAGTAAATAAATGAACAATATTTTCATAAATTCAATCGAGAATTCACTTCAAATTTTTTTCTAAAATATCTATAGCACTGCTAGCGATACAGTCTACAACTCAATTTTCAAACTTGGATGGATGTAATCATATGGCTACCCGTATATATTATGAAACCCGATACTTTGTGTTCAGGGCTATAACTAAATAGAATAGTTTGAAAATGAAAAGCACAAACCTGCTGGAATAGCACCTTAAGTTTTTAATTATTGCTCATAAATCATAAATGTTTTAATCAAAAAGTTTCGCTACCGGAGATAAAGGACCCGAAAACAACATCTGTCAAGATGGTCTATACCTGAATTTCTTTGAATGAAGGGGAATATACCACACGTCTCGAGAACACATTTCAGCAGTCCAAAATATTATTCTTGATTAAAACTACAAAAAGATTCAAAAAATCCAGGAAATATATCATCCTTTTTATTCATTCACTTAAACTTCAAATGGTTGAAATCTGTGATTTTCGCAGGACTAGCTGCCGTGATGAAATTACATCAAATCCTCCAAAAAGAAAAGTTCTAATTATTATTATTATATATTATTACGTCATAAGTAGTATTACTAAGCTTTATAGCAAAGGAAAACTTTGTGTCAAATCATTTTTTGAGTTTTTTCAGTACATGGGGTAAAATGCATCACAATATTGACGAAAATTTCATAACAACAATAAAAGATTAAAGGAAAATTTCAATTCAAACTTCAATTATATAATCTTTCCACTGCTTTAAATTTTTTTGAGGGGCCCAATATGGATTTATAAGATCAAATCTCCTAAAACATAGAACAATACATTTCAACAATATATTCATAGGTACACCTTCAATACAATATTCGTCTTTTTTGAGGCAAGCATTTCGATGAAATTTAAATGTATCACTAAATGAAATAGACAATTTTTCAAGGATTTTATATATATATATATATATATATATATATATATATATATATATATATATATATGTGTGTGTGTGTGTGTGTGTATATCTCCAATTTTGAGTACCGCTGATGCGTTATCCCAATATTTTTCAACTCACATATTTGACACATCTGTCGGTATGGCACATGCCTGCAGTCATTCTCACTATTCTACAATCGTCAAGCAGACCCGGCAGCAGGTAAAATATGTAGAGATAATGGGAGTACCACAAATGAAAGTAAAACCGTTAATAAAATATTTTGATAGTGACTACGTCTGCCAGCTTTCAGACATATAGTAAGTTTATTGGTGCAATACAACATGAATAACAATTTTTACACAAGTCTCGATATAAAATACAAATATTGAAAAAATATATAAATATATAATCATGTAATATATAGTCCTCAAATCAACAGAAGAAAAACAAGTTTGTTCGTACTGTTTAAAGAAGTTTAGATATTTTAACCCACTTTATCAACAATTCGCTGAAGTACGGAATATTTCCTAATCAATTAAAGTCTCTAGTTGTTACGTGGATATAATATAAGAAGGCTGAAAGACGAATAAGTATTCTACCATCGTTTTCTGAAATATTCGAACTTATGATCAGTAAACAATCAATGAAATTCTTCACTGATCATAATTTATTCTCTACAGCCCAGCATAGATATATCAGAGGTAGATCAACAGTGACAGCGATCTATCAGTTCATTACAGAAATTTTTGAATGGATGGTGAAGTTGTCATTGGCATGTTCATTGATTTATCTAAGGCATTTAACAGTTTGATTCATTAATAAATATTGCAGAAAATGTGAAGCTATGGAATAATAGACACTACACTCAAGTGATTTGAATCTTAGTTATCATCCAGGAGTCAAAAAGTACTTTTAAGAAATGGAGGAACAGGTATCTTCACAATTTTAATGAATGACCTAACTACCGAGTTAAACAGAAAAAATACGAGGGGCGGCTGATAAGTTCGCGGACTAGGGTACTCACTGAAAAAAAAGTTTAGTTTTTTAATTTTTATATTTCAATTTAATCGCCCTCAAGTGAAATACACTTCGCACATCGTGAATATCGCCTTTAAACCATTTGAATAATATTCTGAAGATTTGTCTTGAAAATTGCTCTCCACGGCTGAGTTCATCTCATTGTCATCCGAAAATCTTCGACCCCTTTTTCAGTTTCGAGAAAAGGAAAAAGTCACTGGGAGCCAGGTCTGGACTATAGGGGGGATGGTCAGTTTCAGCGAACCCAGTGTCTTTTAAAGCATAAAGAAACACGAGTGGTGTGAACAGTTCTGTACAAAACCTTCACGTGCCTGACCCAATAAATTGGCGTAGTATTTACCATTCATAGTAGTTCTTTTAGGCAAGTAATCAATTAATAAAATTTCATAGCTATCCCAGAAAATTCCACCTCGAATTGCTTTGGTGCTTTTTCTCCTTTTTTATTCTACTGTATAGACTCTTGTTTGCACTCCGGATCATACTGACGAATCCAGATTTCTTCTTCTGTCAAAATGCGGTTACAAATTTCGTCCTAATCGTTCTGACATAACTCCAAAAAATCCATACAACTCGCCAGTCGTCATTGTTTGTCGAGTGGTGCATTCGCGGTAGCCAACGCGTACTAATTCATTAAATGTGTGAATTTTGGTGCAAAATTTCTCCGATTCGCTCTTTACTAATCTGTAACTCTTCAGCTAACTCATTTTCTAGGATTCAGTTACATGATTTTCATTCAAACGGTCCTTCCAAAAACTCTCTCATCTCAAGTGGTTATATATATATATATATATATATATATATATATATATATATATATATATATATATATATATATATATATATATATATATATATATATATATATATATATATATATACATAGTCCTATACGAAATTGCGGACAATTTTATCTAGTGAAATATTCACGTAGGCTCCCTCTATCGGAGAAAAGACGTACAAACTGTCCCTGGCGTTCAATTCAATTATTCCTATGTTCGTTTTGAAAGTTGTCGATTCTTGATTGATTGATTAAATATGGACTGATGAGGTTGAAATCGTTGCTCACTTCGATGGACGTGCGAACGAAAATATATAACACACCTTCAATCAGGTGTGGCATGATTTCATAATAATGATGAAACAATTGTATCCTATTATCATTCAACAAGATCGATGAACTTTTCGAAAAGCTCTTTATATTCATTCTCG